GCCTGCCTCTCTCCCTCCCTGCCGGGATGGCGCTCGCCCTTCAGCCAGGCCCGGCTCAAGGGCTCTGCAGGCAGAACCAGCACCCGATCATCCAGCCCAGACAGCTCTCGGCCCTCCTCAAACTCAGGGTCAAGGCCACTCAGTTCAGCTTTACAACCCACCTTCCGACTCTCACTTAGTAACCATTCCCCAGAGCCCTCTCTGGGCCAGGCCCTGTGCTGGGGACTGGGGCACCTCAGCGGCATCGTGGGCTGGGCCCCAGACCACCTCTGCAAAGCCAGCACCGCAGTCTGCTGCTGGCAGAGGGTCTTGCCTTCGATTTGTTAAAAACACAACCATTGCGAAGCATGATAAAGAGAAGCATGATTACACGTGGTCTGCCTGCACTGGGGGTAGACGTAAATGCTGGGGGACACTCCGGTGCCTGCAGTGGGGTCAGCAGGCGAAGGATGGAAAGACAGGCCAGGTGGAGAAGATGGCACGAACAATACTTCAGAACGGCCGGAGGGCAGAATATAAGGGCCCAGCAGCAAGAAGGCAAAAAAAAAAAGGGGGGGAGGTTGGGACCCAACTACGGAGGGCCTTTTTCGCCAAAGTAAGGAGCACATTTGTTTTTGAGGAAAAAAAAAAATCAAAAACGTAATAGATGGAATCGAGAAGGCAAGGCCAGTGACGGGGAGGGGCGCCCCAGGCGCTCGTAATGGTTCAAAGAGAAGACGGGGCGATGGGACGGAGGGACGTGTGTGAGAAAGGACAGACAGGACGGGGCGCTGGACGGGGGAACGTTAGCGGTGACAGGAGAAGGACCCAGTCTCTCACCTGCTCTTCTGGGCCGGTGGAAACAGCCAGAAAAACAAACAGGTGATTAGAACAGCCTTCTCCGGGGGAGAAGCTCCAGCACACAGGCAGATGCATCGAGAGGGCCAGAACAGTGTGACTTTACCTCCTCCAGGGCGGCCAGCTCTGGGCCAGAAGAGACCTCCTCGCCCACGGTTTCTGCCTGGCGGGACATGAGTGTGTGAGTAAGCATCTGGCTTCCTCAGCTGTGTGGATGACACTAAAGAATCCCACTTCTCTCTGGCCCCATTCAGAACACTGAGGTCCCCAAAATGTCCTCAGAGTCTTTCTTTTAATCCTCACTACGAGTCAGAACTGCATGTAGCATTTGACTGTTATAGCTCCTTAATCTCCTCTAAGCTAGAACAGCCCTCCTACCTGTCTTTACAAAGTGGGAATTGTTTTGTAAGGCCGTCTACGTTATAGAGGTGTTGGGAACATTCAGAATAAAAAACGCAAACAAAGTGGTTAGTCCAGGCCTTATAGGCAGTGTCTGACAATGCTCAATCAGTATTAATTATCTTCCATCTGTCGACAGCCCACACAGAATCCGGTATCCTGGTTTGTGTGACAGCTATACTTATTTGTTGCTGTAAATTTTAAAATGACATCAAATTTCACTAATCATAGTTAATATGAGTCCACGGCTGACAAACGAGTTGGCCCACAAGTGGCCCAGAGCTGGAGGTTTGTGGAATGATAGCCAGAGAGCCACACGTGGGTCCTCGCCCAGCTCCCAGAGGCCACAAATGAGCCTCTGCCACTGAGTGGACTGCATTCTCCAAACAGAGGCTAACTGATGGTCCCTCAATTCCTCAGACTGGACTGCAGGTGACAATGCATCATTCGCGGGCCAAATTCTGGAAGGGTCCCTGTGGGCCTCGGTGTCCACCGTGTCACGCTATAGAACTTGCCCTGGTTGTAGACGTGAAGGTTCTGTGTCTCAGATGCTATGATTTGCTATGTGGACAACCAGCCAGGGCATCTAGTAGCCATAACCAATAAAGAAGGCATCCGATTAATAATAACTATGTCCTGCTGCACATGTGTGCTAGATCTGACCAGCAAGGAGGCCAGCTCTACCTTCACAAACTGCTTGGGAATCATAATTCTAGCTCTTCTTGATTTGGTTCTATTTTAAAAGAGAGAAGAATGTTTTCCCAGACTACAAAGCTTAAAAGGGCAAAGACAATCCTAGGGCCCTGTAGCTAAAGGCAGACACAGAAGTACGTAACAAAACATGTCTGCACTGAACACGCAAAGCCAAATGGCCACCAAACAAAAACAAGCTACGGCTTCCACCTTCCATCCTATTTCTCAGGAATAGCACACCACAGATGGTCCGCAGCAGAGGCCCTGGTCCCCGTGCCCTCACTTCTCACATCTCGGCTGGGAGTCCACTGCCAAGACACACCCCTGGGATAAGAGCTAATCACGCATTAACTGGACAGGTGCCAGGGCCATTTATTCTGCCCAACTCCCTCCCTTGGAATAAGAAAAATCAGAGCCTCTGTCTGTAACCCTCTCTCTACCTAGAGAAAACACGCAGGCCAGTGGTATAAAGCAGTTTACACAGAGAAAAAAAATCCACATCATCGGATACTTTTTTGAGGCCAGGTATCGTGTTAAATCCACTTGACATTTTCAGTTTCTAATGTGTCGCACAGTAAACTTGTTTTTCTACCTTTGTTAATACTATAAATTACTTAAGTTAAGTATTATACAATGAATCCCGTGATGGTTATTTAAACACCACAGAGAGTACAGGAGAACAAGCCTCAAGAAGTGTGATGGACCTAACGCGTTCCCCGAAAATTCACACATTCAGCCCTAACCCACAATGGGACAGTGTTCGGGGGTGGGGCCTGAGCAGTAAATAAGTTTAGATGAGGTCATGAGGGTGGAGTCCCCACTCCAAGGGGGTCAGGGGGAAGAGGTGCCCCCCACTCAGCCATTCTACAAACACATGGCTGCTCTGTGTCGGTCACGGTCTAGATGCCGTGAATATAGGACTGAATGAGACACTGGAGCCCTGTTCCCGTGAAACCTACCACCTAAAGGATGGAGGCAGACAGGAAAAAGCCAGCACGACAGCCGCGGGGGGCAAGCGCGGTGGACTAGGTAAGGCAGGGTGACACGGCGAGGGTGGCGGGGGAGGGAGGGTGTGAATTCAGCTGACGTGGTCAGGGTGGCCTCTCTGCTGGGGAGACATCTGAACTGAGACCTGAATAATCAGGGTGAGTCCTGCAGGGGGCCAGCGGGCAAGGACAAGGGCGAAGGCCCTGGGGCAGGCGGGCTGGGCGAGCTCCTAGGACGGGGCGGCCAGGGTGGCTGGGGACTCCCCAGAGAGGGAAAGGGGCAGAGAGGGACGCAGGGAACTGGGGGCACAGTTCTCATCACAGGGAAACAAAACCCATAACCATCCTTAGTCTCTCAGGTTCCAGGTGACATTCAGGGAGGGCTGAGGGCGAGCAGCCGGGAGACGGAGCCCCGCTCCCAGAGACACCGAGGGTCTGGAGGTAGCACCCTCACAGCTGATGGCAGGCCCTCGGCCTCGGTGGCCGCTGCCCCTGCAAGGCCTGCGGCACCCACACTGCTTCTTCAACTGGGAAGCTTCCTGGCCCAGGCCCAGGCCACACGCTGGCTCGGGGAGTCCCCGCTGGACCCCGCCAGGTAACGTGAGCTGCACATCGTGTCTGAGTCTCAGGGCGCCCTAACCACGCGTTTACTTCCCGGCCGACCCTCTGGGCCACAGTGGGCCGCGGAATGGTTACGAGGACAGACCCCAGAGTCGGGCTGCCTGGCTTCACGGCCCAGTTCCACCACTTCCCAGCTGTGTGACCTTGGAAAAGCTATTCGACCTCTGTGCCTTGATGTTCTCATTTGTAAAATGGAGACCTTAGTAGCACCGATTTCATAGGATTGCTGTGAAGAGTAAGTGAGGTGATTTATGTAAGCCTCCTAAGTGCCAGCTGTTGTCACTGTTGCTCTCCGGGTGACAGGCCATTACTCATTCATCTCCATTTTCCAAGGGCCTGGCCGAGTGCATACATCATGACAGGGGGTAGCTGAATGTCTGCACTGTCATAAACAGGGAACGGGAGTGGGTATGACGTAACTTACACTTGTCGAAGCTTTGCCATGTGCCGGTGAAGCACAAACCTTCACGACAACCCCAGAAATGGATAGTTTTATCATGTTATAAACTAGATCACATCACTCAAAGTTATGTAGTAAGTTCTACTGTCAGAATCCGCTGTCTCCAATAATACCCTTCGAATGAATGCTGTGCCCCAAAAATGCCTATGTTGAAGCCCTAACCTGCCCCATGTGGCTGTTTTTGGAGATGAGGCCTGTGAGGAGGTGAGACAGGTTAAATGGGGTGATCAGGGTGGGGCCCTAATTGAAGAGGGCTGGTGTCCTTATGAGAGACACCAGTGCGCGCACACACACGCGCGATTTCTCTCTCTCTCTCTCTCTCTCTCTCTCTCACCAAGGGGGCTGGTGTCCTTATGAGAGACACCAGTGCTCTCTCTCTCTGCCATAGCAGGGCACAGTGAGATCAGGCAGCTGTCTGCAAGCCAGGAGAAGGGTCCTCACCTGAGCCCGACCTCCAGAACTGTCAGAAGTTTCTGCCGTAAAGCCACGCTGTCTGTGGTCCTTTGTTACAGCAGCCTGAGCTAACGAATACACCCCGTCATGCCTCCAAACGAATGTCAGGATCCATGCTTCATAATTTGACATAATTAATCCATGAAACCCTCTCCCTAGTCAGCATAAATTCTCATTTTCTTCAGATTCCACCTCTTCATAGAAATCACCAGATTTTGAAGAACTTTATCATTGCAGCTAATGAGATCACAGCGGTTATACTTGACAAAACGCAGCCATTCCTACATTCCACCAATGGAGGATGACCGCCAGGCAAATGCGCACAAAACAGTAAAGAGTGTGACTTAAGAAATCGTTTAACGACAAGCACTTTCACTGCTTTCGGATATACACGGTAACTCGCCCGCTAAGTGCCCGGGAGAAGTCTCCAGCAGCCCGGCGTAGCGATGACAAGCATGCTGCAAAGACAGAGCAGCAGGCAGCAGGCGTGGTGACTGCCGCCATGCGCCTGGAGACCACGCTGTGCTTATTAAAACTGGGGAGGAGCTCACCGTCACTGAGGTCTTGGAGGACATTCTCCTGGCAGGAGAAATCCAGCTTCGCTTTGATGTTGACTGTGAACGTGGCTACCTTCCCGGGCTGCAAAGGAAACTGGGCGAGGGTTTCTTCTAGTTTCCAGCTCAAGAAGTCGCCGTACAGTTTTTCTACAATGACAATAACAATGGTGATGAGAATGACGTAACTGAGAGAGGATGAGACTTACCAGCCCTGCTAGAAAACTCTGATGCATTCTCAAAAAGCAAAGAAAAACGCAAACCATTTCAAATGAGAGATCAAAGTACCAAGAAAGCTCCAGAATGCCGGGTTTGGTGAGGCAATGACCTGTGTCTATGAGTGAGGCACAAGGAAGAGGCGGGGCACCACGCTCGGAACCACGTCACCTTTGCAACCCCCGAGTGGCTTCCTCTCACTGACAAAATCGTCGCCCTCTGCTCTCACAAACTCAGCTCAACTGAATTTCCCCCTGACCAATATTTCCTATCACCCTGAAGAGAAAGAAATCCACATTTAGCAGAGAACCGTCGGGGCGCTGCTTGTGGGAAGGCCAGGTCCCAGAGCCCCGGGATCACTGAAGCGCTTGCTGACCTGCTGAAGCAGCACTGGCCAAGCCCTCCCTGAAACGCCAGTACCGGCTCAGACACTGAGGCCCCGCATAGTCTCCGCTCCCAAAGATGCCATCATCGGGCCATTTCTGACACGTGGCTCCAGGAGCCAGGCACTCAGAGCCTTTCCCACGGCCGGGCAGGGAGTAGGCGAGCTGAGGCATCCCCGGCTGAACCAGTGTCCATGGCCCCAACAACACAGAAATGCTTCGGGGGGAGCCGCCTGGTCTCACCCCTCGCCTGCTCCTCCTCCCCTTCCCCTCCCATCACCCTTGTGCCCCCCATAACCCTGCACACACGCTGTTCCCTGTGCCCAGAACGCCCGGCCTGCTCACTTCCTCGCAGAGTGAATTCCGACGCGTCCTTCAGCCCTGCTCCAAGGCTCCTTTCCCGTGATGCCTTTCCCAGCCCACCTTGCTGCCCTGGGCTCAGGTGCACACACCTCTATTAGAACATCACCTGTGTTGAGCGGCTCAGTCTCCCACCCACCGCTCGACAGATGGAAGGCAAGGACTAGAGCCTGCCTCTGAGGCTCACCACCACCTCGAGAGGAGGGTACCGTGCTGGTTCAGACTCCAGGTTTAGGGCAAAACCGCCCAGGCTCAAATCCTGGCTCCGGCGGGGTATCCCCTGGTAAGTTAGCAAACCCCACAGGCCGCAGTCCACCTGTCTATAAATGTGTCATCGTGAAGAATGAATGAGTGAATAACAGTGAGGCACTCCGAATAGGCCCCCACTGCAGCAGGCGCTCCTCCTACCCCTCTGGCCCCGGCTTCCTCATCCTGCCGGGTGGTCATGGCGCCCCGCCCCGGGGCTGCATGAGGAGCCAGCGATTCCCACGGAGCGTCCGACCCTGTGCTGGCATTCGCAGAGTGGAGCCACTGCCATCGCCTCCCTCCCCGCTCAGCGACTAACAGCCCGGACACTCGGCACTCGGTAAGCGTACGAGACAGCAGACAGCGCGTACAAGACAGCAGACAGCGTAGTCCAGGCGTCATTTCAGATTTGGACTTAGAACAGGTGAAAAAGCTATGTGAAGAAAGCATAACACCAAACTGAATGTGCAATGTAGTTTCAACTGCATGAAAATACGGACAGAACAAGAAGAAAACACACCCGTGTGCTAACGCTGGTTATCTGAGTACTGAGATCATGGGTCACTTCCAACTGTTTTGTATTCCCTGAGTTTTCTGTCACACTTTCGCACACACGCACACACACACGCTCACAGCTCACTCTCGCGTCTACGTTCGTCCCCGCAGCCCCCTCCAATGTACCAGGAGAGAGAGAGCCCTGAGGCTCTGGCCTGCTGAGGACTGCGGCCGGCCCGAGACAGCGAGGTGGGCTCTGAGCCAAAGCAGCTGCTTTGTACGGCGCCCCACGTTAGGGCCAGGCAACGATGAGAACCAATAACAAGAACGGCAACCACCTAGGGCACACGTGTCACGGATTGAGTCCCTAGACTCAACTCTGCCGGCAGGATAAACCTCTCCAAAGCGGTGGGTTGACTCCGCCCCAGCCACGCGGACTGGCAGGTGGTCAGTGACTAAAGAATTCACCCAGGCTTCGGGAGAGCTGATCTAAATGATGCAGGTAAGCCCTGCCTCTCCCTCCTGCTCCCTGCGCTAACCTGGCAAGGCAGGGCCACCTGGACGAAGCGGGGGGGGCGGTGCGGAGGCGCGCGCAGGAGACACAGGACAAAGTCTTCTCCTGGAGTCTTGTGAAGACGACAGTTGACACAGCCACCCAGGAAGTATCCCTCTTAAGCTGTGTTATCTGCACGTTCTAAAAGAGGCAGCTAACGCTCAGAGAGTTTGAGCGACGTGGCGAGCAGCTGCTAAGCGAGAAGGCCAGACTCGGAGCCAGCGTCGGCAGACAGCACGCCCTCCCCACGGCACGTCCTGCCTCTCGCCGCTCACCAGACACCACCAACCCCCCCGCACCGCGGCAGAGTGCGGAGACCGTCACTACGGAGATGTGACCTGCCCCTCTGAAAAGAGACAGTAGAACGAACGTGTGACGTCACAGCCACGTACGCGAGCTCAGGGCCAGATGCCCCTGCGCACGAGCGCCAGCACTGCCACTCGCTAGCGAGGATGTCCCCCGACTGCAGGGCCAGACGGCCTGAGGTCGCCCTCCCTGTCACGTACGTACTTCCCACCCGTGCTCCCAGTGAGCCGAACACATCGACTCCTGCGGCATCGACAGAGGTACTTCACTTGGTCTTAAGACGAGCCAGCTGTGTGACCTTCTGCCACGTGGCCCCAGAGC